AAAAGACATATTTGAAACCGTGGTAATATGTTGTAAGCTGGTTCAAAGATTCCAAGTCAAATCAATGAATGCATATATTGAAAATGATGCCACTTCATTCTCCATGGGCACCCTCTTGTTTGTTCGATTCCGTTGTCTGCGCCCAAAGCGACGCTTGATGTGCTCGCGGTCTTTTTTGTGAAGAGTGCGTGCCAATGCGTTCATGCTCCTGGCACGGGCAGGAAGGACCCTGTCACTGATCTACAAAATGTGATGCATGGCGCAGAAATGTGTACAAAAACCGATGCATAGCCTAGAAATGTCTACAAAATGTGATGTATGGCCCAGAAATGTTTACAAAATGTGATGCATGGCCCAGAAGTGTTTAGAACTTTTGACAACTTGTGATGCATGGCCCAGAAATGTCTACAAAATGTGATGCATGATCCAGAAAGCTACAAAAAGGCATGATCATGCCCATGGGCCTGACGTTGGTTGCCAGGTGGCTACATTTCGGAAGGTCATGTCCAAATAGCCCCATCCATGTCATCACAACCCACCTGAGTCTGAAGCAGATGAAAAATCAGATGCCAACAAGCATCCCAGAGCAAAATCACATATGTTTCCAGTCCTAACTATATCTATATATATATATATACATATATAAATGCCTATGTATGTATAAAAACACGTAATATATAACATACACATGAATAAATATGAATAAATAAATAAATAAATATATATATATATTATTTAATAAAACAAATGTGTACTATGTAAAAGATCCATGCGTTGAGCTTTTTTGGAATATGTTTGGCCTAGATGCATGTTGAACATTGCAGTCACAGCGATGACAAATGGTTGCTTCAGCCCCCACGAACCACTTGGTTGCTCAATCAAAACCCCCAGGGAGGGTCTGTACTCGAGGACCATGCGGACACAGCGTGCCTCGTTGGACAGTGGGCCAAAACATAATCCATGGACATCCATGGACAACATATAAGGGCTACAAAATGCAAAGCACTGCCCATCCAGCTACAGAATGATCAGTCAGTTGGAATGCTATCCCCACATCTTCCAGCTTCCAAGCAAATATAATGCAAGTATGAGTCAACATGATTCCAAATGATTCCATATTACCTATGCACTGCTCAACCAAGCCAAAGATTGGAACATATTACCTATGTATTGCTACAAAATGTGATGCATGGCCCAAAGATCCTGTTTTCCCCAGTCCAGCTACGAAGTTTTTCCATATTCGCTGTGCCAAACGCACCTTGAACACTCGTTGATTTCCCTCGGGCTTGTCCACAGTGCGCTGATGCACCGAAGAGCACGCCGGCCCAAACATGCTGCACGGTGGAGCGCATATCATTATTCCTGTGTCTTTCAACCTGGGCTGCTGCAATAGTGAGGGGGCAAAAAGTTTTTTTTCTTAAATAGCATTTCATGCATCTGCCAATTTTGGGGCCTTTTCTTAAATGTCCATCAATCTCCAAGAAACTGAAGGGCCATTTTCAAAAGAGTTTTCACACCATCCTCTGATGTGATGTCATGTCCACCATCAATTTTCACATCGAAACCGATTGCTGAAAATCCGGCATCGACCCACGTTTGGGCAACCCTGCCGCTTGCACCGAACATGTCTAAGCAGTCGTAGATCTGCTCTGTGGAACGAGCAGTGACCTCTATGAAGTTCTTAAGGTCACGTGCGTGATATTCAGGTTTGTACCACCTTGGCATCTTGATCTTCCATGATCTTCCTACTTCGAGGTGAGGTGGGAGGGAGACAGGGAATTTAAACGATATTGAATGATGTGAAGATGTGTGCAGTGCATTTTGTAGGTGTTTATGTTTTGTTTGCCATTTTGTAGCAAAATGAAGCTGCATCTAATTTTCCAAGGCACTCCCTCTCCGCAGTCAAGCATGTTGTATCATCTGAAAGCTTCGGCAATTGTCTAGCAGCACCAGCGATGCCACACAAATGGCATGCAAATGCCACTGCAAGCAGATGACGCCACAGGCCCATCATGTTGGGATCTGATGTTTCAACAGACACCCCTGCAAAGAAACGACTCCCAGAAACAAAAATGCTTTTGAGCCAAGCGAGACAAGAGGATGTACAAGGATCCATAAGGTGCCTTTTCTGATGGACTTAAACTCATTCTGTAGCTACAAGCACGTACTTGCATTTTGTAGTGGAAAATCTGTAACAAGACAAAACCGCCCCATCCAAACCCATTTTCTGCATCCCAGATTCTGTTTCCAACACTTTCTTCGCAGTGCTGATGGCATGTACAAAGGTCCATTCCCGACGTTCCTCAGCCCAAGACAGCGCCAAAAATTAATAAGGTGCATTTTTTTTGTCGGACTTAAACTCATTCTGTAGCTACAAGCACCTACCTACTTGCATTTTGTAGTGGAAAATCTGGACAAGGACAATACACACATCAATACACTATAATTTAATCTAATTTAGTGGTATGCCAAATTTTGCGGCTGACGTCGAAACGCTTGGAATCAGTGCACACTTGTGTTTCGCAAACTTCCAGCACATTTGACGTTGCAACCTAGCATCATATTCCAATAGACGTGATGATAGGATGGCCGGTTCGATGGCTTTGCAGTGCAGCATGCGACTCAGCCGGGGCACGCTGGGCTCACATCAGGTTACTATCCATGGTGGGGGGATTATGGGAGAACCATGGAGAACCTTCAACTGACTGATTTTACATGATTTTTATTGATTTTTATCGATTTTTCAGTTTCAGAAAAAAAACCACCTTTCTGCGACACAACACCTCTGCAAACAAGACACGGTATATTCCCCGTTTGCAACTCCACTGGGGTGTTTCCATCGGTGCCAGACACCGACGCACCGGACAAATTGTTGGGCAGCCCGGTGGTGGCGGCATGGCTGCCAAACAACAAACGAGCAAAATGCTCAGTGACTCTGGGCCAAAAAAAATGGCTAAACAAACAAAAAACATCCAAAAGCATATCCCCAGACCATTTTATACCGTACACGTGTTCTCCCTTTTTGTAGTGGAAATACCATCGGGGATCCAAAAGCTACAAAATGATACCTTACAAATGTATACAAATGTGCAAACTCATGATTGCATCCATATGAGCTTCTACAAAATGTTTTTTCAACGAAACCATTGGCTGCTACAAAATGATTTTATGTTTTCCAATGTCCCCAAATGATGCCAAAATTGGCAGCTACAAAATGATATTCCAACATAGGTTATGTTCGCAAAAAACCTTATAAAACCACTCTAGGCTACAAAATGCAATGACCCAAGGTCTCAGTTTTCCCTAAAAATTGACTAAAAAAAAGCTTCTATAGTGGCCTTAGGCCATAGCATTTTGTAGTGGAAATGCCATCCCGGATATATATAGTAATTGAAGGTTTCCTAAAATGGGGGTACCCCCCAAAACGGAACTTTTTAGTGTTGAAACATGTTGAAACCTATGGTTTTTTTGGGGGTCTCTATTTTTAAGAAACCCCGTATTTGTTTAGCAATAGTTACTATTGCCATTATTGCAATATATTGCAATGATAATAAAACTGACATGATAATGGCAATAGGTAATGTAATAACCAAATTATATATGATGAGGATGATGAGGATGAGGATGAGGATGAGGATGAGGAGGAGGAGGAGGAGGATGATGATGATGATGATGACGACTTTGACGATGAGAATACATACCGTAATCGGGATCGGGGCCAATAGAAAATGTGGACATTCACCATCACCAAGCCCAAGCTGCTCCTTGGTTTGATGAAATTCTGTCGTGGATGGAAGGTGCAGCTATCTTTTGCTATAGATCAACCCTGCAGGCTGGACAAATCACATCAGTCCGCTTGTGCATCTTCTCTTCAATTTGAAAGAGAGGACTGCTATGGCTATGTATTTGATGGGAATCCTTTCTATGCGTTGGTAAACCCAGAATTGCGATGTGAATTGGGAAAAGTATGATAAAACACTGAGAATTTGGGTACCCCCAGTTCTCCATTGATGGATTGTCCATTCTAAACCATCCCGAAGAGCGTGGAATTTCACGCCCTCGCCGCCAGGCCACAACTATCGATGTGCTGTGAGGCGAATGTCGCGCAGTTCTCAGGATGCCGCTGGGCCAAAATGTCGTGGACGGTCACCAGATTTTGCCGTTGAAATTCCAGGACCACGCGAATTCGTAGCTGTACAGGTAACCCATGGTAACCCTTTCTAGTGTTGGCATGCGAATGAAGCATGTGAGGTCCAGATCTGATCTCGAAAGATTTTGGTGAAGTCCTACTGGAACTGACAGTCTGTGTGTCTCCCCATCTACATTCTGCAAGGCTGTCCCACTGGGCCTGCCACTGTTGGAAAAAACTGTGTAACGGACATGACCAAGTGCACAAGTAGGTTGCCACAACTCCCAGGAAAAGTATGGAAAAGTATCATTCTCGCAGTGCGAGTAACATTGATCCCAATTCTCAGTTTACACTCTTCCAGGCATCCCAAAGGTCGTGAGCACAGCATTTTTCCACTCCTGTGGCTGGGCGGCACATCGGTAACACAAGGATGCAACCCTGCTGGCTGAACGCCCAGGCAACCCACACCGTGAGATTCGATGTTTTTGCAGAAGAGACCACGGGGGACCATAGCCTTTTAAAATCACACTAAAACACTCTCTGCTTCCGGTTTTGTGGGGTGCCTGTGATGTAAACCCTTTTCGGAAGATCCCTGAGTCATCCTTTTGTTGATTTTGACTTCAAGGGTGAGACATGGCTCTGCAACACTTTCGCGCCCAAGGTGCCTTTTTTCAACCACGAAGTCCCACCTACGAAGTCTATAAATGGACTACACATGGATATTTGCAATATCTATGTGAGGGTGTCCATAAATGGGAGTACCCCAAAATGGCTGGTTTATAGTGGAAAATGCAATCAAAATAGATGATTTGGGGGTACCCCCATTTCAGGAAACTTCCATGTATTTATGGATTAGATTAGACATCATATCACGCCAGGTACTCTTACCTTGGACTTCTCAGCTCAGTGGCCGCTGGCCAAAAACAGCCCCTGCCCCGGGATACAGAAGAAACCCATGGCGGCATGGCGTGGCAGCTGTGGGTCTCAGCGCCAGTACTGATCTTGTTTCCTTAGATAACCAGAAGGGGAGATAGCTGCAGGAGTTCATGTAACTGGTTTAGTAACACTGGTTGGCAACTGATTAAGTAACTGGTTGGGAAGCGGTGGTGAAGAAACCGCTTAGGAACTGGTTTGGTTATGTGGGTCAGCAAAGCAAGATGGCATATGGACTGGTGAGGGTTATATATCAAAACAGCAGCCAAACGGGGAGATACTCTAAGCAATCACCCTGAATCAGAAGTCCCCAAAGCAAATTTGATGTGCTGAAACGGGGAAAGAGTGAGGCCTGTTTGGTATACCAGTTGTACCTATGGATCATGAAAAAAAGGTGCCACCCTCCACAACTAACCAGTGGGAAATGGACATGTATGCCAAGTAAAACATAGTTGAATGTGAACTTTGAAGCCTGAGTTCTAACTTGCATCTTAACCCATGTGCTCTGGATGAACTGGGATCCTTGGTAGCTCTAGGGTTACTCCAGCGGCCGTCTCCTCACGTGAGCTTCCAAGCGGCGTGATATGCAGGATTTCGTCCATGGTTTGCTTCACCTGCTTCGTTTGGAAATCTCCAGGCCAAAATGGGAGGGGCCTCTCGAAACTGAGGTGGGTTCATTGGAACAGGTGCTAAATCTGGCCAAAACTGCTTGTGATCGACAAGATGGTAGCCTTTGCATCATCCTAAATTCCAGCATGAAACCCCACATGCAACCACGTAGGAGCCACCGTCTATCATGAGTCCTTTGTAGATGGCCCCCAGAGAAGTGGATCCAACATGATCCATATATATATAAATCGTCAGTTTCCATGAAAATGCTAGGTTGCGCTTCAGTAAGTTTCGAAGATTGGATTTTCCCTGTTCGATCCAGACCTCAGGGAAGTCTTTCCAGTACTTGATCTGTGTGGCGGTCATGTGACTGCGCCCAATCTGTACCTGCCGCAAGCCGGGGCAGACTGCTGGGCACTGGGCAGCAATACCACAAGAAAAAGCAACACGGACATTTCAAGGTTATAGCAAGTCGCAAGAAGATGCAGAACAGCTTCAATTGACAACTATGGATTTTACCTTTTTTGGATTCGTTTGGGGGTTGCCTTGAGGTTTGCCTTGGCCAGTGATTTTTAAACATCTGAATTGCTTGGTCTTGGATGTTGACCCTCAACCCACCAGGTTTTCCCGGCTTTTCCGAGGTTTTCCACCCAAAAATACGTGCAAGATGCAGAACTCTGGCGGCGGAACACGGCAAGTCTGTGGTGCAAACCATGGTTATCTGATGTTATCTGGGGTGTGCTTTGATGTTTCTTCTAAACCAGCTCAGAGACACTTGCAAGTGGTAATTTGTTCAAACTTCAGAGATGCACCACCGCAGTTCAATCTACCTCGACAAATCATTCTTCATAGTTATCTTAAGATATCTTAAGATCCAGAAATCATTATCACCAATGGACGATCAATCATCCCTTAGCTAAGAATCCTCAATTTTGGGAGGACCAAACATCTTAGGTTTGTCCCAAAGTAGGGCACCCAAAAATCCAATGGCTTATTGATTATCATCTATACCAATACTCCATTCCTGGACAAACTTTATCCCTTTCATGATCCCACCCCCCAACCCCCCGCACCGTCTGCCAGTCTAAAGCATCGATAAGGCCAAACTCCAATAAAACCGGCCTCAGGTCGACCCAAGAGCGGAGGCTCCCATCACTTGTGACTGATGAAAAACCCTTCTCCCGATATTCAACACCCAGAACCCCTGCTGGAATGTATTCGATCTATTGATGTTTATCCATGTCTTGAGGAATTGAGTCTTGGGGCGATGGGATTGACTTCAGTTATAAGCCACTTAGAAAAAATTGGATAAGTCCAGCTCGGGGACTTCTTGACACCAGGATTCTGAAGCATGCACGGATTGTATTTTGGGCGTACCGGCGGACTACATACTTCGTTTTGGCTATGCAGCTCGGAAGTGGATTATAGACACGAACCAGATACCAAGTTGGCTGGTGAAGGGTAGGATTTGCGGGAGCCCCCTTCGTTACAGATACGCAAAACCTCCAACATTCTTCGGCTCTTTTTTGGGGAGTGGATCAAAACCTAGCCAGTTGGAAGGGATGAACAATGAGGAACACCCCATAACACCTCAGCTAGTTTGGGGTCGAAACCCGGCGCATGGCCTCAACCTGCTGGTCTTAGGGCCCCCAGACCCCTCAACCTGCACCAGAATCTCTTCTATGGCCAGGATATATCGCCTCAGACTTCATCATCCGATCCCGTCCAATCCCCAGATTTTCGCAATCCCTTCTCCCTGATTGTAGAGCCAATGTGGGAGCCAAACATGAATAGATTCAATCATAAAACCAGGGCTACTATACTGAGGTATTGAATATTCAGGGAAAGGATTGTATTGTATAAGCCCTACTTTTGGTATCATTTGCTGATCTAGCAGTCCAGAGAAATCCCCAACCCCCTCCCAATCTTTGGCGCGCCAAAGTCAAGGACCCACAACAGAGGGAAAGGTTTCTCCACTCGTGAAGTGTTCAGGAGATGCTTCAGTGGATCCATTGAGTCATACTCCCAAGCCAACTACCTCGCTCTTCAATTCCGATCCAGAGGTCAAGAAAACAAGGACCCTAAATCCAATCCATTGATTTTCGGACACCATCCGCAAACACGCCCTGCACCCCACTTGGCTTCAGGCATCATGTCCTCAGTGGGGGGGATCCCTTGGGCCTTCGGGCCTTCAAGCTTGACCCATAGGACCTAGGCCTCGATAAACTGGTGAATTCAAGAGCTTTGTGGCCATGGGATGCCACGGGGGAATGTGATCTTCCAACATCTTCCAACAAAAATTGACTTTTTTGAGGGGTACCTGAGACATACAGTCCTGGGATTTGTCCAAAACTCTTGAACATCCCCTCGTGCTTGCCACGGTTTTCCCTGCCAAGTGACCTCTTAGAAACGGAAAACCAATACGTTTGACGGGGCCTTCAAATTCCAGAAACACCCAAACATCAAACCACTCCTGCTGAATATGGCTAAGGGTAATTTCTACAAAAATCTTTGGTCCCCTGAGTCCCCTGCGTCTTGATGTTTGACCCGTACATACCCATACATACCCATGTGTGGCTTGGAAATCCGCGCTTGGGAGTTCAATCGCATCCAAGGGACAGGATAGCACTTTCGGGCCAACTCCGAGAACTGTTTCTGGTAGACTGACTGTTTGTACACGCTTTTGAACCTTATGCTGACCATGACCAGCACACACTCATCAAAGGATTGACTTGGAGGAATTCTGCAGGAATCCAAATGGTTTTGCAATCAAACGCAGCAATTTGCGTTTGTTTCCCCTTGAATCACTTCTGGGAAGGGGTTTCACACTTTAACTCCTACAAAAAGGGTTGATCCCAGATGCGTTCGTGCGGGAAACGGAGTCGATAAAGAGGTAAATGAGCAGTTTCTCCTCTTTTGCAACAACATTTACCCACATGTACCATCTGGCAATATCAACATAGCTATGGAAAATCACCATTGTTAAGAACAATAAATCATATTAAGAAGATTTCACAAATAGCCATGGAAAAATAACCATTCTTCATAGGTAGTTAATAGGTCAATCATAAGAAACCATCCAACTACATGGGCCAACTAACTATACCATACTTGGCGGTTCATCCCACTGTGTAAGTGGATTATAACCTTGGTTATAAATGGTTATAAATGGGATAAGTAGGGTTCATCCACTCATAACTGGGGTTTTAACCCACTTACCATTCCTGGGATGAACCACCAAGTAGCAAACTCTAACAAATGACCAGGGGTTTACGGCGCTTACGGCGCTGTTGAGAGGCTTCTCTTGAAGTTCCAGCAACTGCGAAGGTGTCACCTGGGAGCCAAGAAAACCCAACAACCATCATTTTATGGGGATATACTGGGGATACTACTGGCGTTATTGTGGACATTGTGGGATACCATTAATATATTGAGGCATAACTCGGGATAATTCGGGATATGATGGGTATATAATGGGATATTAATGGGTTTATAGTCGATATAAAGGGATATTCATGGGAATGCGATGGGTATGCAATGGGATGTATTGAATATAAAACGGGATGTCATGAAATATCGGGATATCCTCATTAATCGTGGAGCTACATACATGATAATTTCAATGATAAGTAATACTTGTATCCATCAGGATAGAATAAGGGATGGCCAACTGAAAATAACATTGGGACAACCTATGGGACATATACATATACAGATATATGTTTACCAGGTAGTGCCCGGTACGGGCCGGGGCGGAAGTTTCGAATGAAACAACTATAGGAAGAAGATGGCCTATAGGAATGTTTTTGAGATGCAGAACCAAAATAAGTGTTGTGAGATGCATCAACGAATGAGCAAATGGTTGTTGAGATGCCAATGAGATGACATGAAAGAATCCATGCACCGCTGTCTAAATGAATCAATGAACGAGCGAATCAGTGAATCATTGAATCACTGAATCAATGAACGAGCGAATCAGTGAATCATTGAATCAATGAACCAATGAATCACTGAATCAATGAATGAACCAGCGTAGCAATGAATCATTCAATCAATGTACCAATGAATCAGTGAAGCAACGAGACACTGAATCAATGAAGCAATGAGTCAATGAATCAGTAAACCAATCATTGAATCAATGAATCAGTGACTCAAAAATCATTGAGTCAATGAGCCAATGAATCAGTAAATCAATGAATCAGTGAATCAATGAATCAACGAATCAATGAAACAATAAACTAATGAATCAGTGAATCAAAGCGTCATTGAACCAATGAACCAAGGAATCAATGAAACGGCGACTAAACGAATGAACAAATGACTGAGTTGAAGAATGGGTGGATGGATGGATGGATAGATGGATGAGTGAGCTACTTTTCTTTGTTGAGCTACTTCTTCACTGAGCGACCCCTTCGTTGAGGCGCCTCTTCTCTCAGCTACTTCTTCTCTGAGCAGCCACTTATCTGTGCTACTTCTGCTCTGAGCTGCCTCCCAGCTAGCTCTTCTGTAGCTTCTGCAACCCAAGTCTTCTCTTCGCGCAGCTGGCGCCATCCGTTGAGCAACCTCCAGCTGCAATCCCTCATAGCACAAGAGTAGCTCTATGGTCAGGAACTACCTTTCGCGCAGCTGTTCCAATGCGTTTAGGAACCTCCAGCTGCAATCCCTCTTGCCAGGAGCGTCGCAGCATCACTCATACCTTGCTGCGCGCAGCCGTGCCAATGCGTTCTGTCACAGCTGGTTGCAAACCCGCATAGCAGGAGCGTCGCACCAAATCGACCAACGTTCGCGCAGCACTGACACTGGGGACTCGACCACACAAATCCGGGGCTGCTCCTAACACCTCAGTTTTTTAAACGATTTTTACATGAAATTGAGCTCTCGCTACAGTCCTGTGCGCTTTTTGTCGACAACTTTCCCAGATCAAGCCGCGGAACCACCCTACTTCACTTCGGCGACCCCAGCAGCCACATTACCCGAAAAAACGAAGGGTTTCGCGCCTCCGAACTGTTACACTTCCCAACTACTTGATAATGGTGGTTGACATGATTGTGTGGTTGACATGATGGTGGAAAGGCTAACCATGACAAGCGTCCATGACTCAGAAGTTTTCTAACTAAACTTCCTTTGATAATGACTAATGGGATGTATATCATGACTAATGAGGATATAGCAACCAAAAAATGCCTAAAGGTATTTTCAGGATGTTCGTTCGATGATATTTACTTCACATTTCCAGGTTTCCCACTTTTCTATCTTTTGAGGGGTTACTCTGAGGCGTTTCGGGTCAACCGTGGTTTGTTCATTGCTGTGGCTGTTTAAGATATGTGGTCACATTGGAATTGGACTTCTTTCGATTCCTTTCTATCATTGGGTTTGCAATTTGGTTTGCGGTAGGTATCAATAAATGAAACTTTGCACAGGTAAAAGTTTGGATGAAACCAAGACATTACCATACGAAAATCATCTTCCAGACTCCAGACCCATTCATTGTTTGGGTGTTGTCAGTTACCACGGGCACCAATTAATCGGCAGTGATCACAATGTTTAATTATGAAGTTTCATACTGGGGCCCACACTTCAGATATCAACAGTCTTCTTGTCTCTTGGGAGGAATAGAATTTGAATTACCCTCTGGAACGTGGCTAGCTGGGAAATCCCCTATAAATGGAGGCGTTAATGGGAAAATCATCTACAAATGGTGGAGTTTCCATTGTCATGTTTGATTAGCAGAGGGCACAGTACCCACTTCGCAGGGGTCATAGACGTTTGACCCCAGAATGGGGTACAAATCGACACAGAATTCTTGGTCCTGTCTGGCAGGGGCGTCATGGCTTCATAAAGATGCTCATCATCTAGACAGGTTGTGTGGAAAGCAGAGTGAAGCCCAAAACTAAACATCCATCCGTGAATCATAGCAAAATTCAGCAACCTCAAACAATCGTGTCATTTGTCTGATTCCCGTCATCCTGTAAACATCATTGATAGTTAAGTTGAGTCCTTTCTTATTCAGCTAGATCCATCATTGTCTTAACTCATCTCACGAAGGAAACTGAGAAGCCCTGCTCCTTCCCATCCACTGAGCTCCTGTTCTGCCTGCCAGTTCCGCATGGGACCGGTATGGCTATGCTTTTAGCCATAGCAATGTGGACAAAACGATCCATATTAAACTTATAGTATTAAACGATCCATTTGGGGTGTATAATTGATGATTTATATAAATTTAGGTGTATATCATATCCATCACTAAACCAATCGTATTAAAGGATCCATTTGGGGTGTATAATTGATCAAAGGACACCCCATATCCATATTGGTACTAAAACATCTACTAGTATGTGGATTTGTCGGGAGAATGATGTCATTCATCCCATACTGGGAATCCATATTATGGGTATATAGATCTGCGTTAAATGACTGATGATCATGCTCCTTTATGGGCATATAATCCATGCACATATCACCAGCATAACACCATTATATATATATACACATATATATATATCATATTTATAAGCAGATGATATCCCCATTATATGCCCACTACATCCCCACTAGTTCCTGGGAAGAACAAGTTGTTTCACCATCCGAAGTTCATCTGCACACCTCGCTATCGGATTCCGCACTCAGCGACTCCATCGGATCACCTGGCAGGGCATGTCTATCCCTTTTCAAGCACTTGTAAAGTATGTGGATCCTGTTGTGGCAGGGGATGGCAGGGGTATTCATCCACATCCACAAGTTCCATCCATGATGGCTCGTTCTCTTCGGAATCTGGCTTCGACATGCTTCGACGTCGAAAACACCCAATGATGACCAGCAGCTCTTTTTGTGGGATATGGCCATGGCGGCCATGGCTCGAGATTTCGCCATCATTGGAAGGGGATGAACATGATGAACATGATGAACATCCATAAATCCCAGCCGTGGTGGCAATATCGCTATGGTAGGAATATCGATGTTCCCCACAAGGTCCACTCTAACAGTTAACATATCCAGCAGCACCTAATCCTCTGTCTCGGTCCAGCTGATCAGCCAAGTCCTCCAAGATAGATGGTCAATTAATGACCAAGAATAGATTGATCAGATTGGATAATAACCGGCCAATCTTATATAACTATAATCTACCCCGTTATCTTAGAATATCCGTTTTTCCAATTATGCAGTTGAACTCGACCGTAACTCCACTTAGAATATGCCCCCATTTCGTGCTCATGTGTTTTCTCCCCATTTGAATTATCAACATATCACCCATACTGCAGCATAAATGGACATAAATGGATATTTTTCAATTTTTCACCCCACTAATTTTCGTTTGAATTATCAAAATATCACCCATATTGCAGCATAAATGGACATACATGGTCATTTTTCAAATTGTCATCCCACTAAAATCCTTTGAATTATCAACATATCACCCATACCGCAACATAAATGAACATAAATGGTCATGTTTCATTTTTTTCACCCCACTAATTTTCGTTTGAATTATCAAAATATCACCCATATTGCACCATATTTCACCCCTTTGGGGAGCAGCAATCCTGGATGTCTGAAGTCCGTAAACTAGAACGTTTCAACAAAAAAACAGGTCCCCCGAAATGATCAATTTCTTTTCATATTGTATTTAAAAAAATGAGTTTTTCAAGCTCACCGAAGGGTACCTACCCTCTACGACCGGTGTCCGAGAACTATGAGAAAAGAACTATTTTGCAATGAAAACTAATGGAATTAGGTGGTGTTCCTGAAAAAATGGATGAATATTTTCACTGGGGACCTATTTTCTATGTATGTAGTTCTGCAAGGAATTTGATCTTTTCCATGTATAAGGTTATATAATTATCATATACATAATTCCCTTTGGGGAGCAGCAATCCTGGATGTCTGAAGTCCGTAAACTAGAACGTTTCAACAAAAAAACAGGTCCCCCGAAATGATCAATTTCTTTTCATATTGTATTTAAAAAAATGAGTTTTTCAAGCTCACCGAAGGGTACCTACCCTCTACGACCGGTGTCCGAGAACTATGAGAAAAGAACTATTTTGCAATGAAAACTAATGGAATTAGGTGGTGTTCCTGAAAAAATGGATGAATATTTTCACTGGGGACCTATTTTCTATGTATGTAGTTCTGCAAGGAATAGGGCCCACTTCATGTATGATTATTATATACGTAATTCCCTTTGGGGAGCAGCAATCCTGGATGTCTGAAGTCCGTAAACTAGAACGTTTCAACAAAAAAACAGGTCCCCCGAAATGATCAATTTCTTTTCATATTGTATTTAAAAAAATGAGTTTTTCAAGCTCACCGAAGGGTACCCCCCACGACCGGCGTCGTAGAACTATGAAAAAACACTAGTTTGCAATGAAAACCAATGGACTTAGGTGGCATTCCTTTAAAAAATGATGAATATTTTCACTGGGGACCTATATTCTATGTATGTAGTTTTGCAAGGAATAGGGTCCCCTTCATGAATAATTATTATATACGTAATTCCCTTTGGGTAGAAGCAATCCTGGATATCTGAAGTTCCTAAACTGGAACGTTTCAAGAAAAAAACAGGTCCCCCGAAATGATCAATTTCTTTTTATATTGTATTAAAAAAATGAGTTTTTCAAGCTCACCGAAGGGTACCCCCCACGAACGGTGTCGGAGAACTATGAAAAAAAAATAAAAAAATATTTTGCAATGAGAACCAATGGACTTAGGTGGCATTCCTTCAAAAATTGATGAATATTTTCACTGGGGACCTATATTCTATGTATGTAGTTTTGCAAGCAATAGGGTCCCCTTCATGTATGATTATTATATACGTAATTCCCTTTGGGGAGCAGCAATTTTTGATGTCTGAAGTCCGTAAACTAGAACGTTTCAACAAAAAAACAGGTCCCCCGAAATGATCAATTTCTTTTCATATTGTATTAAAAACATGAGTTTTGCAAACTCACCTAAGGGTAACCCCACGACCGGTGTCGGAGAACTATGAAAATAAACTATTTTGCAATGAAAACTAATGGACTTAGGTGGCATTCCTTCAAAAATTGATGAATATTTTCACTGGGGACCTATATTCTATGTATGTAGTTTTGCAAGCAATAGGGTCCCCTTCATGTATGATTATTATATACATAATTCCCTTTGGGGAGCAGCAATCCTGGATGTCTGAAGTCCGCAAAAAACAGGTCCCCCGAAATGATTTTTTTTTAATACATTGAATTAAAAAAATGAGTTTTTCAAGCTCACCGAAGGGTATCACCCACGACCGGTGTCGGGAAACTATGACCAAACACATATTTTTGCAATGAAAGCCAATAAAATGAATGAATATTTTCACCGGGGACCTATATTCTATGTATGTAGTTCTGAAAGGAATTTTATCTCTTCCACTCAAAAGGGTGTATATGATATACGTAATTCCGTTTGGGGAGTAGCAACCCTGGATGTCTGAAGTTCCTAAAATAGAACGTTTCAACAAAAAAACAGGTCCCCCGAAATGATCAATGTCTTTTTATATTGCGTTAAAGAAATGATCTGTTCAAGCTCACCGAAGGGTACCCCCCACGACCGGCGTCGTAGAACTATGAAAAAATATGTTGCAATGAAAACCAATGGACTTAGGTGGCATTCCTTTTAAAAAATGATGAATATTTTCACTGGGGACCTATTTTCTATGTATGTAGTTCTGCAAGGAATAGGGTCCCCTTCATGTATAATTATTAAATACGTAATTCCCTTTGGGGAGCAGCAATACTGGATGTCTGAAGTTCCTAAACTGGAACGTTTCAACAAAAAAACAGGTCCCCCGAAATGATCAATTTCTTTTCATATTGTATTAAAAAAATGAGTTTTTCAAGCTCACCGAAGGGTACCCCCCACGAACGGTGTCGGAGAACTATGAAAAAAAATAAAAAACTATTTTGCAATGAAAACCAATGGACTTAGGTGGCATTCCTTAGAAAAATGATGAATATTTTCACTGGGGACCTATTCTCTATGTATGTAGTTCTGCAAGGAATAGGGTCCCCTTCATGTATGATTATTATATACGTAATTCCCTTTGGGGAGCAGCAATTTTTGATGTCTGAAGTCCGTGAACTAGAACGTTTCAACAAAAAAACAGCTCCCCCGAAATGATCAATTTCTTTTCATATTGTATTAAAAAAATGAGTTTTTCAAGCTCACCGAAGGGTACCCCCCACGACCGGTGTCGGAGAACTATGAAAAAAAAAACAGTTTGCAATGAAAACTAATGGACTTAGGTGGCATTCCTTCAAAAAATGATGAATATTTTTCACTGGAAACCTATATTCTATGTATGTAGTTTTGCAAGCAATAGGGTCCCCTTCATGTATAATTATTATATACGTAATTCCCTTTGGGTAGCAGCAATCCTGGATATCTGAAGTTCCTAAACTGGAACGTTTCAACAAAAAAACAGGTCCCCCGAAATGATCATTTTTTTTATATATTGAATTAAAAAAACTGAGTTTTTCAAGCTCACCGAAGGGTACCCCCCACGAACGGTGTCGGAGAACAATGGAAAAAAAATAGTTTGCAATGAAACTACTGGAATTAGTTGGTGTTCCCAAAGGAATGGTTAGCTATTTTCATTGGGGACCTATATTCTATGTATGTAGTTCTGCAAGGAATGGGGTATCTTTCATGTAAAAGTATAAGGGTATATATCAATATAATATATCATATACGTAATTCCCTTTGGGGAGAAGCACCCCTGGATGTCTGAAGTCCGTAAACTAGAACGTTTTAACAAACAAAAAAAGGTGCCCCGAAATGATCAATTTCTTTTCATATTGTATTTAAAAAATGATTTTTTCAGGCTTGGAAAAGTGAAGAATTTGTATAGAAATGCGAATGATTTCTTAAAATATATATATACATATAAATACATGGAAAAATGATCAATTTGACTGAACAAGTGAAAGAATTTGTATGGCAAAAATATGGAAAAGTGAAGAGTTTGTATTTGTATGGAAACGTGAAGGATTTATAAAGAAAAGTGAAGAATTTCTATGGAAAAATGACGAATTCGTCTGGAAAAGTGAAAGAATTTATATGGCCCAACGATATTCTAAGTATAGGTTTTTTGACGTCAACTGTATTCTAAGTAAATGTTTTCAAGTTCAATTATGGGGATGCCCTGGGAAGCCAAAATTTCAATTCTATATTCTATGTGGGCGGGGTCCATTATATATATAACCATCTATTATTCGGGGTTCAGGCACCTAGGGTTAGTAGAAACACCTGTCCGTTGAAGTACTACAAATTCTGAGATATGCCAAGGCCCTACTGGGACCGCAAAAATCTACAGAACCCCTGGTATATTGCCCTCCAAGCCTATTTCTGGGCCTGAGCACTACTCAGCCAGCAAGAATTGATAGGACTCAGGTCCGCAGTTCCAGTGACAATTAATTGGTGGTTCTATGTAGCAGAAGGCACCGGTTTCCATAGCTATGTGCTGCGTCTCTGGCCACCCAGAAGCTATTGTGGCCAGAGTGATCAGCCATGGATCATGGACACTATTTATGAACATATTATTAAAACATATGTGATGTCTGAGAAGAATCGATCGTTTCAGGAAGTAAAAAGACTTGTGTGTGTGTAAGAACTCCCACTGCAATTTGTTTTGTCATGGGGGCAACGGATCAAACAAATATTATTGGGATCAAAAAATATTATTGTCTGGAGATCAAAACAGTTGTCATTAGGATCAAAAAAACAATATTTCCAGTCACAGGAATGATAGAAGAAGTTAAAGTTGAAGCTAAAGTTGTTGTTGTTGTTCTTGTTGTTGTTGTTGTTGTTGTCGTTGTTTCATTTAGGGTTTCATTTAAGGTGTCATTTAAGGTTTCATTTCAGGTTTCATTTCAGGTTTCATTTAAGGTTTCATTTAAGGTTTCATTTAAGGTTGCATGTAAGGTTTCATTTAAGGTTTCATTTAAGGTTTCATTTAAGGTTGCATGTAAGGTTTCATTTGAGGTTGCATTTAAGGTTTCATTTAAGGTTGCATTTAAGGCTTAATTTAAGGTTTCATTTAAGGTGTCATTTGAGGTTTCATTTAAGGTGTCATTTAAGGTTTCATTTAAGGTGTCATTTAAGGGTTCATTTGAGGGTTCATTTAAGGTGTCATTTAAGGTTTCGTTTAAGGTTTCATTTAAGGTGTCATTCCGGGCTTCATTTAGGTTTCAGCTAGGGTTTCATTTAGGGTTTCATTTAGAGCTTCTTTTACGATTCTATTTCGGCTTTCATTTAGGATTTCATTCAGGGTTTCATTCAAGATGTCTTTCCGTCTTTCTGTCTTGATTTATGTTTCTTTCTTTTCTTTCTTGTTTTTCTTTCTTTCTGTTCTTTCCTTTCTTTTCTTTCTTTCTTTTCATTCTTTTCTTTCTTTTCTTTCTTTCTTTTCTTTCTTCCTTTCATGGACCAGACCATGGAATGTGCAGCATCGCCAGGGAGACTCCTTGACAGTTGGGAAATCCAACAGCAGCGTCGCCTGAGCGGGCACAAGACCCTGGCTGTTACCGTGCACAAATTGTCTGAAATAAAACATGGTCACCGCTCAAAAATGGGAAAAAAAAACGTGGACCCACCTTCATGGTGTTTTGTTTAATACTATATTACTATGTAAATACTATATTATATAAATGAATGTTAACATCAAATTTTGCGGATGAATGATTTCAGAAAGGCGAGAGAACGTGGGAGTATATTATAGCGATTTCATCGGGATTCGGGTTATCGCTCCAAATCACCGACCCACAGATCTTCGTTGCTCTGCTAGCTGTTAAGTTTCAACCAGTGAACAAAGTACGTAGGATCTGATCAAACCATGAGATCCCCAGGTGTACCCTATTGACAAACTCCATGCGTTCCAGTTCCAGGTGTCATGTCGCCAACTTTGATACCGACCCTGCCAAACAATCCAAATATATCCAAGGTAGATTACTATGTCCATAACTAAATGGGGTGTTCCAAAGTCATGGGGGTAACCCTAGTTCTCATCCATTTTAATTGGGGTTTCCATGATAAATCATCTATTTTGGGGTACCGGGTACCCCCATGACTTAGGAAAACCTCCAAATGGGCAAAAAGCCGCAGGGCGCACCGGTAGGTCCAGCCGGAAGGAGCTGCTCAAGCGATTGCGCACACGGATCAACTCTAGCCTCGGAGGGGCTGAGCCAACCTTCATAAACAAATAGATAAATTGGTATGGATTTAGGGTTTAAGTTTAAATGAAATTTGGTATATTTTTTGCCATCTTTTGGGTGGTGGGCTATGAAATCCTCTTTTTAGAATCTAAAAGAATCCAACAGACGTTGTAAATGAGTGATCTTTGGGGGGAATTCCAATGGAATTTTCCTGCCAGTCCCGAACTGAAAGGCTGACCTTGGGATGACAAATTTAAGAACTCTCCCTGGTGGGGCTTAGGTCCAAACGAATCCAGGCCATAGTCAAAGAAGCCCTTGTGCAGATCATTTCGGTCAAGCCTCAAAATTCAGCCACAGCGCTGGCAGACGTGAACCCTAAGTGATTTTTGATGAGGCCATGGCGAGGGACCCTGAACTATCACCTTTGTTGCGTTCGGTATTTGTTCGGTACATCTTCATCCCCAAAACAGCCCCAACTGTGTGGGATATCCAACCCACATGGATGAAACCTGTGAGCGGACCAAAGGGAGCCACTGATTTTCGCTAGTCATTGTTTCGTAGGCTAAAACAGCCCATTCTTGTGGGTACTCCAGCATCCCCATACCAGCACATATCATATTTCAATTTGGCACGGGAAAGAATACCCTAAATTGAATGGATGGCCATTTAGATGGCCAGGGCTGGCTTGCAGCATCCAAAAACAAACATCCCATCGTGTTTCACCATTTTCTTGGGGTCTATCGCGATGTGGAAAACACCGAATGATAGACCCAAATATGGGACCATGGTTTATAATACCCTGAAATTGACAAAGTTACCCCCCAAATCGGGCGTTCACAAAACATTTGCCAAAGTAACCCACATCTCCATTTGTTCACTCAATCTCATAAATCCCAATTGGGAGTATGGCATTGGGTTTACCCGGCAAATGAACATGTTCCCATCCACCATTTGTAGATCATGTTTCGAAGAGGAAACCCATGGACTTCCTCATCTGTCGTTTACCTGAGGGTATCCAATATTGGTCCAAAATCCTTCAAAACGCTTGGACTGACACCACCACAAAAACCAGGTGGTGTCATTCGTTGCTTTGCAGAAATCCGTACCTCGGAAGTTTCTCATCTAGAGCCTTTGATCATTATACGTGTATGCCAATAATTTAAAAAAAAAAATACCGCGATAATCCTACTAATCACTAGGTTCACTACTCAAATTATACGCTAAGCGCCAAAAAAAGATACTGCTGAGGGATTCTTGGAATATCCCCATATATATATATATATATACCGCAACCCCAGGAGTCTACATGATTTTCATCGCCATAGCAGACCCAAGTGTTGGCCATATATTCCCATGATATCCTCGTGTGATCCCCATTATTCCTGGTTCAATCCACCATTTTAGATGATAAAACCATAAGGCTTGATGTGAAATAAACATCAAATAAAATGCATGGAAAACATATTAAAACCCATATTGAAACCCATCACTTTCCCCAGATCTTCCATCATTTTCCCCAGATTTCCCCCTGAAAAGCCCATCATTTTGTGGTCGCCAAGTGGCTTGTAATCCAACTCCTCCAGAATCTGCGCCACCACTTCGATGCTGGGCACCTCCACCTTGGCCTTTGGAACCTGGAGCGACAAATCGGAAATCGGCAGCCGTGGATCAAGCCATCCGGCAACCGAAAAATCCAGAAATAAATGTTTGAAACAGCGATTTATATGGGGGTAACTATCAAGAAAAACAGTTTTATATGGGGATAACTAAGTTACAAGAGAAAAACAGGTTTTGTAACTATCATACCGACAATAGCTGTGATTATGATGAAACACTGGGACTATGATTTGGGTTTTTGTCATGGGATGGAGAAACCATCTACCAACTGGTGCAGGATTTCGCAACCATCCACAGTATGCATAGGGAACATGGTGTGTACCCCCATTTTATTGCCAACCTCCTGGTGAACATGATGATAAACCACGGGCTTTTCGGGGTGTACTTTTTCACACAAACCAATTTCTGGTGTTTACAGCCGCGATCTTGCTTAGAGTTGGGTGGAGATTGGCACTTCACCACATGAGCAAAGATACAAACAACCATATGGATATGGGTATCTATGTGTATATACATACAT